CTGTGTTATATACGTGAAATCGTGGAAAGTGTATGAAACCGGTGTATTCAGCGTGAGAAAACGATGTTTTTTGTCCTTTTCATTTTGTGCAATGTCTATTCGTGCACTTGATACCCCGCACAAACAGAATTGTGGGATTTCATTTCAATTTTTCTCCTCCACAAATTGTGAAGTTAATACCTACATTAATATCACCCCAGGCTGAGGCAACTGGTGGGAAAAGAACACGGCCTTCTGCAGTATAACACATGACACCAGCTAAATCAAAAAAATTTAATCTCCGTTTTGACTTCACCCATCCACTATGGTTACAGTCATCTATGTGATTCTCCGTTCCATTACAGTTTATCGCCTCAAGCCATACTGGTCTCGGACCCTTGGGGTGACCATAGGTTACTCTTAAAAAGAAATGATTATAAACACACAAAGCTTGTCAACACTTAGAAAACTGATAAAATTTTGATATATGAATATACAAAATGACATGCTCAAAAATATTGACAATTCTTTGTCAATCCAGTTAACACTGATACGTTTTCCTTTGGGTGACTCACTTACTGTTGTAAAAATACACTTTAGTATTAAGTTATTTTATTGAGAAAATAATTTTAGAAATCTAAAACACATATTCAGGAAGGACATACGCCTTTCCTTCCTTACGCCGGAATGTCCCAAAATAACCATCAATATTGCAAAAGATTTTAACATTAATCTGCCCAATCAAAAGAGCTGTTTCCTCCACCTAGATAACACCCTCTGATTTCAGAATTCCCCTACGATATTAATAATTCCCCATGGTGAAACAATGTATTGGCGTGAGCACATAGCCTGCCTAGCGCCGCTGGGGGAGGGGGAGGGGGGGGGGGCGAGAAACGGTATAGCCGTATAGCAAGATACTTGAAGTTTTCAATAAACTTGTCATGTGTCAATTTTAAACTCATCATGAAAGTATTACCTTACACACTTGTATCAAAAACAATATTAACATGGCGTAACTAACAGGTATGTATATATTTTTATTTATCGTATTTTACCAAGACTTACCCCTTGGTGTAACGTATAACTTTGCCGCCAAACCCCAGTTGTCTACAGACGACCTGCGCTGCTTTTTTATTCCAACCGCGGGCTGAAATCGGTCCCCATTGGCTGTTGACAAACGCTTCAACACGACCTTCGTATTTATGTTTACCGTCAGTTAGACGCAACTGGACGCGCGCTTGGCAGTGACAAATATACAACGCGACGAAACCCAAAAGAACGTTTAGCTTCATCTTCGCTGTTTCGTTGCGGTTGATCAGTACTGGTACTTCGATCTAAAAAGTCTTGAAGTTCTGCCCGGGTTATAAGCGCAGATGTTATGAACGATGTAGTGTTGCGTTATTGCGTGCGCAAATCAACGCGCGTTCAATCTGTCAAGTTGTGGTAACCTTATCATTGAAGGTCATGTACTAAACAAAGCGTGTCATTGTTCTGCATTAATAGCAATCGTATTACGCGTTAGGCGCACTCCTTAGTATTTTAGAACCGTTTTATCAAATTCTGCAGACTTAAAGGTCTTAAAGGAATAAAAGCGGTTACAGAACTTTTATTTGCTCGTCTGTAAAGGCAACTTTGCCAATTTTTACTATGACAAGTACAAAGCTACTATGAGGACTTTGCTGGCTAGCTTTTCAACAGCTAGTGCACCTGTCATAGAGAAAAAATTGACAAATTACAAATTTTAATTTGAGCACTTGCGCATGCATGAGTTTGGTCAGCGATCTATTATTGTTATAATAGCTATAGTAACAGGTTATGGTTTGTGCTGTGAAGAATTTTTAATGTTCTGTGGAACCAGTGCAATGCATGGTCGAACTGAGTTTTGTAACGAGGTAGAACTGAGTATGGACCATATATGGAAGAACAAGGTAGAACTACTAGAACCGGGTAGAATTGAGTATGGTGACGAGTATGCATGGTGACGTTTCTAGGCTATCTATGACAAATTCTCCATCTATAAAACAAAGTTTATATTCTGCAGTATAAAAGCCTACACCTGCTTATATTTAGCTAAGAATCATACAAAGACTATAATACATAATTAGAAAAGTTCTTATCATTTCTTTCGCTCATATTCTCTGGGCTAGAATTTATTTAATTTAAAATTTCATGGATTTGTTGTAAAATGATTATTTAGCATTATAAGCGTTCGTTGGATCAGCCACTGGCATTGCCAAATAAAACCCCCTATTTTCACGACTTGCGAGTTGCACGTTATTATTGAATAATGTGTGCATACGTCATTGATTTATGATATGCATTATATTATGATCTATTGAAATCACTTCGTCGTCATCACCCAATATATTTACCATACACCACATTTTTGTGCTGGATTCATCCTTGAGCCAACAGGACAGCGGTATGCTCTGGAAAATTCCACTGAGTTGCGTAGTGGCCCTGTTACTCTAAACCGGTAAAAAGGGGGGAAATGTAATCAAATCGAGAACAATGCCCACTGGCTTTACCAGAAAACGATTCCTACCTGAACATCATTGGCACATGATATTTTATCGTGTCTTCTAACGCATCTTTTGTATATTTTGAACACCAAACCTAATAAGAAATCATTTCCCATTTATGCTCAAATGGTCAAAGAAAATAACACCACGTCTAATTAGAAATGATACTCAGGTTGAAACACGGGTAGCAGTTTAATTAATTAAGTATATTGGCACGTCAGCACGTTAATAACTAACCTGAGCAAAGGACAGAAAGAACACTTGATCATTTGTTAGGTTGAGACCAGGAAGTTGTAGTTCTGCGCCATTTTGTTTCTCACTTCTTTTAAAAGCCTAATTGCAAATGGATGATTAAGACGTTATTTATATTATTATCATTGACAATGTTGTTTAAAACATACATTGTATGCCAGCTTGAGTCCACCGTTATCAGCAATGTTTTCTCCCAGTGTGTTCTTCCCTCTTACCTAAAGCAAAATTAGATAAACCTAGTTTTCAGAAGAAAGCATAGACGTTCAAAAAGCAGCTGAGAGGCCAAGTTTACTTCTGTTGCATGCTGTATAATAACTGTAATAATCCTTTCTTTAACTTCAAAGCTAGGAAACAAATAATCGTTCCAAGTTCCTTAATTTTATGGTAGCAAAGCATTTTATTTGTATGCACGGCCCGAGTCAATCAGTCATGTCAGTCAATTACTGGGAGAAAGGTACGAGTTTTAGGAGGCGTGATATTATAACTGAAATACTATTCTAAAATCCCTAAACAATCGCTGGTCATGACTGGTTAAACTAAGGCATTTCTACAAGCACTGGTCACATACTATTCATGTCTTACGCTTTCTCCAAGAATTGTGAACTTATTGTACTGCTCGGTGAAGCATGCTGTCCTTTCTTGGAAGTTTTTCAAAGAATTTGAAGTCCACCAGTTTCTCTGATTTCCATTCTTGTCGAACATGTGACCTACAATAATCAACGTTCCAATGTGAAAACGAAATACATTACTGGGAACCATTGAGAAGAAGAGCCGCTCAGCACTTACCTTTGCTATCAAACGCGTGGGTCAGCTCATGCCCAACAATCATTCCCAGTGAACCATAATTCGATGCTCTGTAATCAATAGTAAAAGTCATCGAGACTTATCAGTTTTAGTAAGAGATTCTACGATTCTATGTTTCCACGTTCCAGTTATCCAGTATTATTTTTAATTCACCGTGGTTGCATTTGCATTATTCACTCCTTGTTTTCCCCATTTGATACGTCATCTTGTGACGTCATCATGTGACGTAATGCAAAAATGGTCGGCTGTTAGTTATACTGTATTTTCTAATGGCTATCTGCCTTGATTACTTTCAAACATACCTACTATTGTTGCGATCATAGATTGGACGTTGAAGAATTCCAGCCAAAAATGCTGAACAAAAAACAAATGCATGTCTTTTTCCCGATCAACTGATTTTCATCAATTAAAAATTATGTGGATTAATGAAATTAACTCACATATTTTATTTTCTTGTCTTGAATAGTATGCATTTGCATTCCAAGTAAGTTCTTCGAAGCTATAACGGAGAAAATATATTAAGTCGATTGACCTGAAAATCAAGTGCTGATCTTGGCGCTCCTCATATGATAATAAGAATCGATAAACTTCAAATAGACCACACCATGTGACTCAAATGAAACCTACCTATTTTTCTGAACCGGATGCAGAAGATTTTTCAAATTATTTTTGAACACTAAACTACGTTGGTTCAAGTACGTTTCAAAGAAGTTACTTCGATTTATCTGCAACTAAAAACATTGAATAATTGTTAATTATAAATACGTGCTAAGCTGTCACATCAATAACATCAACTTAAGTTCAACAAACAAAATTCATGATCTCTGATGATGAACCATGAGTGCTTTTATTTGCGAAGCTCAATCACTGCGAATCATCTATTAAACCCATATTGACGTATGGAGCTAATACTTTCCGTGGCTGGCTGGGGACACTTAAAATTTCCCCAAAATTGTACGGAGGATTGTAATGAAATAAACTGAATTTAACATGTTTTCTGATATATTATTGATGTTACCCGAATTTCCTTGGTTTCCACATCTTCCAGGAGCAGTTGTCTCCTCCCCCACCCCCTCAAGCTCTTGTCTCGTACGTACGCCTATAATTAAACCGCTCCTTTCAAATAAGCCCTGCCTACAATCTAGTAACGCGTTCCTGTTTAAAGCTGGAAGAAATTTAAAAGTACCTGAAATGCTTAGCACTGTATGTTTTATGGTATGGTATCAAATGTTACCTTTTGAAAAACAGTGTTCATTTCCTCAATATTGTTCGTGTCATCTGTATATCCGGCAAGGAAATGAATCCCTCTTGCCTGTATAAGGAATGAATGTCAATTGGAATATTAGAAAAATCAATTATCCTATCAGTTAATATCTCAGTTCAATCACAAACATACTTTTTCTGCAGCTGCTGTTTTGGTCTTTTCATCCATCCATGTTTTATTTTTGAGATCCTCCACAAATTCTCTACGTATGTCATGAAATATTTCGAAAGCCTATAATGAAGTACCACGTTAACAATGAGGCTACGAAGATTTAGGTAGACCATACAGTAATAGGGGATGATCAGTACTAGTGGAGACCAGTGTATCCGAGGAAAAACTACTGTGTTGGTGGATTCGAGCTGTAGTCCTTTTTCTCACATGCCATTGAGGAGGCTATATTCTCAGTCTTGCCTTGCTCCGGATAATATTTTGGTTGAACTCGATTAAAGCACTAACCTTTCGTCTTGAATCTTCACTGAATCTTTGTTCAACATACAGATGGCTAAGAACTTTATGAAAGGATTCACTCAATATTTCAACACACGTTTCCCACCTTTGGGTTTGTTCTAGCATTCTGCTTCGGATATTATTCTTAAATTTATGTTCAGTTCTGCTAAGCTCGCTTGGTAAAGCAGGAATACTGTCCTGAAGTACCTTCCAGACAATATAGTTGGATAGAACACTAAAAACAAAAGTATAGTAATATATAATAGTAAAATTCTTCAGCAAAGAGGAAAATTACTGGTAGGTAGATTGAGTCTAAGGTATCATGCAGGCTGAAAAGTCACATAAGGTCAGGTTTCACCAGTTCTGTTGAAGAGAGGGTTCTTTTCTTCTAATTATAAAACGATGCAAAGTTACATACTGTTTATCCGTAGTCGCAATAACAGTATTAATGTGTTTGATGATTGCTTTGGAGTTCACCAATATAACATCTTCATTGTTTGTGTAGTACTTGACATCATTTGCCAAATTTTGAAAGAACGACAACCAGTCAAACTATTAAATAAAAATAAAGGATAATACATACTTGATACGTATGGTTCATATTTACTTTACAACGTTTCCAAGCACAGAATAAAGTTAACGATATTAGTGACTTGTGAAGAATCTCATTGCACAATGGTATGTTTTATTTGATACACATGATCTGCCAAAGATTTTTTTTGAATTCCTTTGGCTAAGTTCAATTGAAACCACTTTTTGATATAACATTACCTTTGTAAATCTAGAGAGTTCTTCTATTGTCAAAGCGGAGTAGTCATCATTAAATCTTGCAAGAATCTGACGTATATAAGAAAGAAAAACAAAGTGTACATAGTTTTAACAGCCTCTTCTGCTTCTGGCTGCGATGGTGTGGCTTAATTTTACAGAATTTTCAAAACGTTTTCTGTGTCAGATTACCTAATGTACCTAAATAAATGTACCTTTAATGTACCTTAGCAATGCGTTTCTCGAGCCTTAAAACCCCGTCCACCGCCGCTGGGACATCGCGAGGATTCGATGCTACGCTCTTTAACATTGTGATCATATATTCTCTGTACAAGTCCCTTATCTGAAGAAATGAAAGAAACATTTAGGTGATCCTGTAAACGATGGGTGATTGCGTAATTTGATTGGCAAAGTTGTTAGAGCAACAAACGTCTAAGATCGTGTGTGCGGTTATAACTTTCCACTCTCAACACATTCCGAAAAGACACATAGCAAAAATATAGTTGATATGTATTTTGAAACTATTGTACTTGCACTCACTTATTTGTTGAACAAATCTCGACAAAAGGTTACGAGGAACGCCTTTATTTTTCTACGTAACGTTTTTTAAGCAAGTATACCGAGTACGATTTTAGTATATCATACCTTTTCGTCTCTCGGCGTTTTCTTAGGAAGATACGATTTGGCTCTCAATCCTAATGTTGGCTTGGTAATCTATGGTAAAAGAAATCAACATAAAACTAGTCATCAAACTATTAAGTAATTATATACACAGCAAACGGATGAGATACTGACTGTTGTAAAGGATTTAATCCTTCCATTACAACTAAAAAAATCTCTGGAAAATTGAAATTTTCTTTCAATCGTTTGTTCCATAAAAGTACTGAGGTCAGTGAATATCTTCATATTTTCTATACAGTGTTTATAATCAAAGAATTACGTTAACTTAATCTCAACTTACAAGGAGTGCAGTAGTAATCATTTCACTTACAAAAAAAACGTGTTTGGAGCTATTCTTTGGGTTAATCCATACGCCAGTGGAAAAGAAGGGATTAAACTTCAAACGCATTCCTTTAACCATCGCATCGAATATATTGTAATTGTCTTTATTCCATTCCTTCGACGTGATATTACTATCTCCCAGGCTTCTTATTAATTTCTTGAAAGAGGATAGTGTGGTCTCTTCAAAATTGTTGTGGTTCATGCATATGTCGTACGCTTGCAATAACTTAGAGACTGCTGGGTTCTGCTGAAGAAAAAAGGATGCTGAACATCAATAATTCTTGTATGTTTTGCTGACCAGGATCAGACCTGTAAACGTGGATATTTTTAGTATACTCGACCGGGCATTAACATATTCTGTAGCTGGAGAAAAGTCCATCATTTCTAGGAGTTCCCTTTAGATTTGGATAGACAAGAAATTTCTAATTTCAATATCTTCCAGGGTTCTTACTAGTTACCACCCTTGTTGATGGTTGTTGTCTACCGGCTATTGTCGAAACGACACGAGTCGTAAAATTTGTGAAACTTGGACAAATAGACTCGTCGATTCTCGCGAGTTGACAAGTCGTTTATGAGTAGGGGATATTGGAAATGTGGATTCGTACGAGTCGAACTTGTTTTACGATGCGTGGTTCATATATCCATGGTTTCACAGCTTTTCAGGCATTTTAGAAAGGGCTAAAGTGAAATGAAATTCACTATCGGGATGAACCCTGGAGAAAACCTGTGGTACTGATTTGGTACAGTCAAACTGAACGCGCTATTTTCACATGTGACATAGCAGGACATATAATCAGAATATACCGCTAATCACAAAGGTAAAATGCATGCACACTATCACATGTGATACCAATACTGTACATTATTTCTGTCCATTTCCATGAGTTAAACCTACTTTTGCATAATATTCTCTAAGCTTTGTGTTTTCTACGATCATTTTCAGATGTTTCGTGTTATCATCCTGGAGTTGTTTTAATACATGGATAAAGTTAAGATGTGATGGTATTGGCGTCATGCTGTCGTATCCACCGCAGGCGTAACTGTAGAAGTCATCACAAGGATCCACAGATTGGTCCATTTTTTCCATGAGATCTGAAAATGCATTTTGTAAGTGACATATCTAAGTATTCGTCAGTTGCGGGGGAGGGGGGGGGTGTTCCCAAGGAAGGAGCTCCTAGGAAGTCGAGAATGCAAATCAGGTAGGTGGTGTTCTGAGGGTCCTGCTCAGAATTTATATTGGTTTGAGCCTTCATTTCCGACACTTGATTTCACTCGCAATATGTTAATTCCATTTAGATTGTTCAGTTGAAAAAAAACCCCAAGGTTTGGTTGTGGGAACAATTGCTCTTCTGAACTTATAGTCCCGTAGACAAACAGCCAACATGGCACATTTGCCCCCCCCCCCACCACCACCTCCATGGCCAGCTCTGAGTGTGTGGAAGGGAAATGCTTTTGATCCAATTATAAATTATAGATATTTCTAGGTTATTGATTGTTCATCCTATGCTCTTTGGATTATTCATTTTTTACATATTTTTTAGTTTTCATACATCCGGTATAAATTTTTTTCCTTTTTTTTTTAAACTTAAGTATTCATTATTCATTTCCTGCATGAACCTTCTGTTTTTCATCGACTTTCAATACTTATATGCTAGAGGTCAAAACCTGACCTAATTATTGGTATAACGGCAACTAATAATTTAGACGTCGGTATTTTAAGTACTTAAAATATTTGGACAATTAGAAATGATGAGATTTGCAAGCGGGCCACAACGCTGATTGAAAGAACGTTATTAAAAGCAATTTGTTTAACATTCTAGAGGAGACTTTTGAACATTCTCAGGGGCATATGTCAGCGCTTACGATCGCTTACCGTTACGTTTAACGCAATTTTTCAATAGCAGCTAATCTGAGCTTAATAACTGCTCAGATGCTGCATGCATTCCAAACTGCATTGCGTTTTTTTACCACAATGATTGTCGAATGTCAATCAGAGCGCTTATGAATACTCGTCTCAAATATGAAAGCCACATGAACCCACTAGATAGCGCATCTAATTATCCTACAATTCAAAAATTGAAGCCGTGATTGCAGACTCAGGATATTTCCATGAAATGAGAAGATTCGTATGTTGTCTATTTCTTAAACACAGAACTTAAATATTAAGGTAAACCTATTCCAAATACATTTTTAAACTATTCAAATTATGAAAGTTATTGTTGTTTTTTAAGCGTTTATTAGCGAGTGGGAAACACCACATGACCGCCATCTATTCAAATGGGGGTAACCGCTGGAATATTCTTGGCTTCAATTTTACTAAAAGAGATGTGCTATCTAGTCTATATAAAATATCTATGCATGAACTGAGAGGAGACAGTATTCCTTTCAGGTCTTTCATCTCCTCCAAATTTTCTGGAAATGCATACCGCATACCTTACAAAAATGTCTCGTTTATAATGTTTAATACATGCAAACTACAGTGTATCACAGATTGTATTATTTTAACAAGGATATCGCAAACTGTTGTCTGGAGTGGCCTGGGATCTAGCGGTGGTAGTTTGATTAAAGAATTAATGAAGTATGTTAATCTACCATGGCCAAGTCTAACCATTCACGAGGCACATCTCGACAGAGGCACCCGAGGATTTTCGTTTCACGCATCCATTTACCTTATTGTTAACCTCATTTATCCGCCACGCACATTTTTTTTTGCAAATTGCAATTCACTAGGCAACGTATAGCAGTTAATTAAAGAATGTTATTAAGATTGATCAAGATTAACCAAGGCCATTTCGCTGAAAATTGTCGTTCTGACAGAGAAGGTTGATCACAAGCGCACAAAGTATCGTGGTCCGAATATAGACCAATCATAGCTCATCACCGCTGCAAGATTCATTACATAACATGCACATACGGAACTTATATCCAATATTCATTGTCCAATACATACGGTTTGAATCAAGCCAGCAAGCTAAAGTATTGTCGACATGTGTGATAAATACGCCTAATCAAGTTAAAGTAATGACAACAAATTGTGTGTTTTCTGTTTCAATAGAGATAACGTGAGCCGCAAATTGGTTTTTAATTGCATACAAATTTCCTCTGGTACTCTAGAGTGATTAATTCACATTGGGGGTTAGATAATGCCTAATGGCTCTCTCCTTTAAATTAAACAATGCACTGGAAAAGCCCTGGCCTTCAAATAACTAGATCGATGCTCTACCAACTGAGCTACACGGTCAGGACGGATTGATATAAATGTATAAATTCCGTCCGAATAAATTCCGTCCGTCAACGCGGCGTTTTTCACAGAAAAAAACAAGCATGCATGCAGTATTTATCAAAATAGAAACCAAGCTACAAGGAAGTTATTAGAAATTTCCAGTGCCCAGTGGACTACCATGAGCTCAAAACAGGATTCAGTATTAATAACTTTGATTTAATTAACAAATCTACCTGGAGGCAACTTTCTATACCGCTTTATATAATATATATTCTATTAGAATTTCTAAGATAAAATGTTTAACCTGGACATAGAAAGACCCCAACACATTAGATTAGAAATATAAAATACCTAGCATTGCACGAATGCATTCACAGGTATATCCCATGACAACCCCACAATCTTCGTACGTAACCTACGTAAACCTGACGTCAATTAGCATTGGAAAAATTGAATTTGTTGAAATCACTTCGATTTTTTGACCTTTGAGTCACGAGCCACAATAAACAGGAATTGTTTATCGATATTGGCCCGAGCTCCTGCATGGCAACAGGCTTCCTTGGGCTTTTTGTAACGGACCATCATTTGGCTTTTAGAATATTATTGAATCGCTACAGGTCCTGCATGATTACAATCAGAACGATAGGTGGAATAATTAGAAAACTGAGATAAAATTGGAACCAAAAGCTTTGAGAAAGCTCCGCAAAATACATGGATAACCATTCGAAAGTTGCATGAAAAACTATTTAAGACGTAAACTACATAAACAACATATCTGTATGTTGATATTTTATTTGACAAAAATAACTTACAGCACATTTGCTGGAAGATCCGAACCCTGAGGCTTTTATTTGACGCAATCGTTTTAATAGTATACGCTAATGACGACACTGACAAATTGCTTTTGCCTTTGACCTACCGATTTAAGTCTCTCTACATCATAAAATAAAGGTGCCTACGCTTAGCACTATGACAAATCTGAAATATTTGGTGCAAACTTGGATTGTCTTTTAAAAATTTAGATATTATACCCTCTCTCCACACCGACGTAATACACTAATGGCCCCGCTATGTGCAGTTTGATTAATTTTAAGTACTGTGGTTTATGTTTGTTAAGTATAAATAACTCTTTCTACTTGACCGGTATAAACGACAATCATATACAATAGAACCCTTTGTGCTATATTTGTGTATACACTTGTGGCGATATTTTTAAATTGATTTGCTCGTTTATTTGAAGAATCGCTCCTTAAACACACAAGCACTTAAAAGAATTTAATTTTAATAACTGTTACTTACTAGCAGCATTCAACACACAATTTTGCTTCGTGCAAATTTCTGGACCGTCATTCGTTTGCTTGCTCTTTTCGTCTCGATATATGCCAACTTCCTTTGGTATTTTTATCAAATAAAAATACAACAAAAGTCCAACAATTGCAAACAGAATAACAACAAAAGCGAAAAGAAATTTTTCCAATTTTGTTTTCTGTGAAAAGCTCCGATTCTTTGGATCGAAGGCAGGCATCGTCGACACGTTATTGGAATGCACCATAATCCATATAGCTTGCTAGCTTTGCAATGTTTCGTAGCTATCGCAATGATTATCGCAACCTTTTGTCGTCAGCAAATGTCCAGTTAATAATGTATTATGGCATTACAAACCGCTGATATAATGATTTTCTGGCATCTGTTATCGATACGTCCGCAAGCAACTGATGAGTAATGAATTTCATCAACAATTCCGAAGACAGTTTACCAACTCAAGCAAAAGCTTGTGTGTCTATTCTTCCTTGCTTCGTCAACGAGTGTATTCGTCAACGAGTGTGCATGTGATCTGGAGTATGGACTGATATTCTCAACTGTGTTTCTTTAAAAGCATTCTATAATTGAACATTCTAATTAAATCACGTCCTTGAGGGAGTTGGAGCAATTAAAATTATTGGCAGTACTTCATTAAATTCTTTCGTTAAAGTGATTTAAATCGTTTTTTGTTCTAGAAAAATAATTTTTCATCACCAGCGTCCACACGGTGGAAGTGCGCAAGCTTGTAAATTATTGCATGTGCACTGATGTCATTAAGCTCGAGAAGAATTACAACTGTAATAGTTGCATTAATTCCTTCTCATCAATGCAAGTCAAAATAAAGCTAGCAGCCACTTATTCAAATTTATATTTAATAGCCTCCCTGCCATGCAGAAATGATGCAGTAAACTATAGCTTTTTCATAACACTTTACAAACTAAAGACATATAAATTGTTTTGTTTTGCCGAAAGTATAACGTTACTCGTTAGCTTTCAATGCGACACCGAGAGCCCAGAACTTGAAGATGTGATAAAATATTATTTGACTGAAGAATATGACGATCCGGGGCTAACGGTTCGTAAGCTTTACCAAATATACGTGGAGTTTTGTACAAAACAAAACAGTTGTACTTATCACCATGCAAACTTTTCAAGAACTTAGGTCATTACGTCGGAACATCGAACCTAACTGGACGCATTTTTACAAACATAAACGTTTGCATGGGTTGAATTATCTAACACAATAGGGCACATGATAAGATCTGGCTTCGATGAATGATGAAGATAACAACTTTGTTTCGACTTACCTAAGAATGATCGCCATGTCATTTCAAATTCATAATTGCGATGATTTCCGATTGTGGTGTTCTCGCGTGTCACCAACAACAAACTCTTAGGATTTCGTGATCAAGACCATCAACTTTTGGTGTAAGGGTAGATTATCGACTTTCCTTGCAGCCGAGGGCGGAATTGTGAAGGACCAAACGTGACCCGAGTCAAGGCTGCATAAGGGTTAGTTTTTAATGAGAACAAAACCTAATTAAACGAGGAAGAATCGCCAAAGCGCAGAAGAACCAACCTCAGACAACCTATTAACAATACCCATCCTTGGTTCCCTGAAATTTCAGTAGCGGGCTTAATTCAGCAGTCCAGCGCAGCATGCGACGAAAACTTGACATAAATGGATAAGCTGCACAGCGATAAGCCTGCAGTCGGGAAGAACAAACGAAGTTCGAATGAAAATTACTTTCGGTTTGCCTTCGCCAGCTTCAAAGGGAAAGCCATGTAATGTTTTCTCGCTTATGATGAGTCACAATTGAAAAGCAGGCCTCACATTTCTGATATTCGCCCCCTCGCACAGGACAAGATTGGAGCATATGCATGGTTGCACACATACTGGAAATTTTCCAATGAATTGCTTTATTTACTTCCCTATTCTGGAGAGCATAATGTGTAGTTTACAATATCAATGTTTTTTATCAAAGATTCTATGTGCATTTTAATTAGGGGTAATTTCCTCTTTTTGTGGTAGAGGATTTGAAGTGATTCGTAGATCCCCACATACTTACAGTGGTAGGTTTGTACAAAAATGTCATATAGCTATAAACGCTACCTTAAATTTACAAATTAATTCGTATCGAACGTTAGTAATACTAAATGGAATGAGGAAAATTTTCACCATTTAAAAGGTGCTGTACAATTTGAAGGCAAAATAGTTAAGTTGTTACTAGTTCAAAGCTTTTGCAAAACGTCGGCAAGCCACCTTAAAATCTACAGATTACCAAACACTGCATTTCTTCACAGGGTTCATGCGTGACCCTCGAGGACACTGAAATGCCTCTGCAAATCCCTTGGAATTCATAATTGCTCCCTCAACCCTAAATAGAGAAACATGAAACGCATGCGTTAAAAATGAATTGTTTCGGTGACCAAGTCATGTTCAGTAATGGGAAGAAATAGGTTGGAAGGAAATAAGTTTTGTGTGTTGTTTACAAGTCAGATGAGTTGTATATAATCTTTTTCCTTACCTAACCCTAATCCTCACTCTCACCTCAACTCTAAACATAACCTTGTCCTAATCAGATCCTAACCATATAACTGATTAATATTGATATACTGTCGATCTATACGTTCAAATATACCTCAGATTCATTGGTGGCCATGGCTTGTTATCGAGTTGGTCCAAAGCACCTTGAAGAGTATACTTTGAACACCATCCCTAGAAAAATTAAGAATGTGCGATTTATATAATATGTCCAAAATCCTTTGAATGGAGAATTTTCCGTCTCCCTCGTCCTCGAGTATAAAAGAACTTTAGACCACCCCTGGAAATACCGAGAAGCGAGCGAAAGCATGTCTCGAAATGTGCAATAAGTTGTACTAGAAGATAACAATAATTTCTAAACTACATCAATAATTTCTTTAATATCTAATATAAAGTTCGTACCTGTGCATATGCAACAAAGAATAGTTGATGTGGTGTGTAGTCTAGTCCAGGAAGATTTTGTTCTTCGCCATTCCTTGCAACCCAGCGTTTGTAAGCCTAAAAAAGAAATCATATAAAGCCGGTAGTTGGGAGTTTAGAATAACCAACTAATTGCATTAGCAAAATGTTATGTCTATATTCATGTCTAACCTCATAAGCGAATTTCAGGCCTCCATTATCCGCAGTATTTTCACCGAGTGTTGATTGTCCATTCAACTATGAAAGATAGAGACAAGAAAACTCAATTTATTTACACTGGGTAGCCAGGTCTAAGGGGCGAACCATAAGAAAAGTGATGGGGGGGGGAAGATTTTCAGCTTGCACAAATTTTTTTCGGCCGTCTACTTGTGCTTGCGCGGAATTGCGCGAATATATTTTTGTTTTGAAAGAGGTTGAGGTTTCATGCATGGCTAAGGCCTGTTTCAAACGTCGCGCTTCTGATGTGCCGAACGCATTAAAAACAATAGATAATCAGCTGAAATGTCTCATTGGCTATTGTTTCTAATGCGTTCGGCACACGAGAAGCACTACGTTTGAAGCAGGCCTATGAAATGACAACCTTCGTTGAATTAGCTGTAAAACGTTTACTTTTTATAGTAATTAATGACACTAATAATAAGTAAATATATGGTCAAAATGATACCTTCTTTCCAAACATTTCAAACTCGCCATATTGCTTCACGAAACACAAGCTTTTTTTATCAAATTCAAGCGATGAATTTCTTGTCCACCAATTACGAAAATTGCCATCCTTGTCAAACCTACGACCTTAAAATACGATAACCGTAAACTACTGGATGCCTGTGTAAGCAGCAAAGAATTGACAATTTGTGGGCTTGCGTGTGTGATGCAGTTTCGGTTGAAGTTTGTGTCAGGAAGCGAGTACTAACTTCCAGACGTAAGGCCCTCGCTGGAAACGGCTCGAAGTTTGTTCTTAGTTTTCAGGATGTTTGCAACTGGAGCAGTACTCAGCTGTTTAGAGAAGGAGCCAATTTTGTTTTAAATGGACATGCATGTCCACGTGATTTGGAGCAAAAATCTCACATCTTGTAGCAAGTTTGCTAACAAGTCGTCAACAAGTTGTGTTCGCACTGCTTGTCCCAGGTTGTCAACAGGTTTGGAAAAAGCTGTTAACAATTTGTAACATGCTCCAGTGTCGTAGCCAGGGTTTACAAAGTGGGAGGGGGGAGTGGAGCGCCAAAGGCGCGAACACTGTAGGGGGAAGAAAACGTACGTACCACTTGCATCAAATCCGTGAGTCAATTCATGACCGGCTATCATTCCGAATCCGCCATAATTTGACGCTCTATAAAATAAAATTTATCGCATTTTAAAAGCTTGTAAATCTGAGAGGGCAGATTTCCCCAAGTTAACAATAAATACCTGAGATTTCCATCGTCGTAGAATGGTGCGCGCAGAATTCCCGCCAGAAATACTAATGAAAAAGAAGAATAAATAAATTATTTTACCATTTTAATATAACTGGCAGTTGACCAACATTGCTGGGCAAATTTGTTTGCACCAAGCGAAAAATACATTTCAACAATGTGATTGGCTATAGCAAAACGATTCGCCGCGAAAATGTAGGAACCAATCCAGCCACTGGCACAATTTTCTCGCGGCGATTTAATCGTATTGCCAAAAACATAATTAATCCTAGCCTGCTCGCAGCCTGAAATTTAGAAGGGGAAAATTTTCCCCTTCTAAATTTCAGGCTGCGAGCGGCTAAATTAATCCTTACTTACTGTTTTTGTTCTCCGAACTATAGTGGAATGCATTGACATCCGCTGGTGACTGTCTGATTCTAGAAATTATAGTTATAAAACTCAAAAGAGAATTCAGAAGAAATACATGTCTGGAGTCCAAGAAAGTTTTTGTCTTCATTTTAAGCGCACTCTTTAAGTTTTATACATTTGATGCGGGCTTATTTGAGGGCGGCGCGATCTTGAATGGAACAGTTGTGTGTGCATTTCCTAATTGAGATGTAAATCAAGGCTTCATGATCAAAATTAAAAACAAAATTATTGAACCATACTGATTCTTATCCACAGGTTTCTTGTAATCTGCGATTAGTGTCAGAAACCCAATCTTCTTTATTGAGAAAACTGTTTTAAGATATTCGCTTCGGTTTACTTGAATCTGAAAAGAAACAGTGAATGTTGTATTTTTTTTCTAAATAAATATAAACTACTATAAATCAACTTTATTTATACCGGATAGTTCCATCAGTTCTTCAGAGTTGTTCTTCCTAGATATTTAGTACTAGCGCAATCCCATACTGGTACAATGTTTTCTAAAATGTTATTCCTAGAGGTCCAGTAGGGACCAGACTTTAATACTGCATGAGTGTTACTGCAGGAGGAAATTAGAGTACCCGCGGTCAAAATATCAAATATGCCGTAAAAACTCATCGCATATGCGAATGAAGCGAAATAATTATAGAATTGCATGGTAATATTATAGAACTGCATGGTACAGGTGCATGGTACAGGTAACCTTAGGTCGCGTCGCTTTGAATATAAAAATTACTAACTGTCTCGTATTCTGCATTCAACATTTCTTCATCTTTGATAAAATCTGGATATCCCACCAAACTCAGCGATGCCTCAGCCTGCAAAAATACGAAGTACAATATACATGAATTAATTGATACAAAAGCTAGGGATAGGGAAATACAAAAACACATATTTAAAGAAAAAAAAACAGTATTAAGTTCAAGGAAGGATGGATGAATAGCAGGATGAATGTAGATGAAAGAAAGAAAGAAAAGAAAGAGAGAAAGAAAGGAAGGAAGGAAGGAAGGAAGGAAGGAAGGAAGGAAGGAAGGAAGGAAGGAAGGAAGGAAGGAAGGAAGGAAAGAAAGAAAGATCACATTTTTCGTTATCTACATAATTTTACCTTTTCTTTTGCTTTCGCTCTCGTAGCGTCATCCATCCAAGTTTGATCATCCAGCTCTGACACAAACTCACTTATGATTTCTTCAAATATTTCTTTAGCCTAATAATATAAAAGAATAGTGAATATACAGGTTGTTATTTTCTGATGTAGCAATCATATTACACCAGGACAAGGTATAGCAAGTGAGTTAATAGGTATAGTAATCGACGCTCCTCCCACACATACTTTGTAATTTGTTCTCTTTTGTTATTTCCATTCATTATCATTTTCTTTGGCATTATATCAATATTTTATAGTTCACAAATCATGCAGAGGCTGACTAGTTAATCTGAAGCAAATCAAATAACTAATTTGCTGTGCATATGTACAGTTAAGACTTAAGGGTTAAGATTAATTAGTAAGATTAGGTTTAAAAACCTAAACATACGTGACAAAAAGATAAAACTTTCGAATTTATTTAACTTGCAATTTCCTACCCTTGTTTTCGCCCCGGGGTCCAATTTCTCGTCAACAAACATGAGTCCAATCGACATTGGAAACGCTGTCTTCGCAGCTTCGTAACAGAAATCCCAGCGCTCCTTGTCTTCGTATGTTTGGCCATGAATACGTTTTTTGTAAGCCAAACGTGCGTCTACGTAATCATCTGGTAAATGTTGGATCACATCCTCGATTGCTACCCATGCAATGTAATTTGATATAATTCTGCATAAAAAATACATTTTGGCTCAATATACAGTTCAATTAAATAACGACTACGTTTGAAGAGAATGATTACCTTTTATTGCTTCATTCGTTCCTTCGTTTGTTATTTAGTTCTTCTGATTCTTCCACTCTTCTCTTGTTTTCACTTCCCTCCCTTCTCCTTCCCACCCTCCCTCTTTCGCTCTCTCTCTCTCTCGTTCCTTCCTTCCTTCCTTCCTTCCTTCCTTCCTTCCTTCCTCTTTCTACCCATTCGTACATACGTCTTACATTTACTCTTCCCTTCATTATTCCTAACTCCTCTCATCCCTACTTCCTTTCTTTCTTGTTCCTTTTCTTTCTTCTGTCTATGCATATATCCTTTCTTCCTTGCTTTATCTTTTTATTGTTCCTTTCATCTGTCCACTCCTTCTTTCTTTCCTTCGTTTCATTCTCGCTTCTATCCACACCTTCATCAATCTTTCCTTTCTTAATTACAACCTCTCATTTTTCTTTTCATCTTCCTTTTCCCCTTTCCTTCACCATCCTTCCCTGCTTTTTTCTTCCCTTCCTTTTAATTCATGCTTCTTTTCCGTTTAGTCAGCGCTTTTATCCTCGCATGAACATATCCAGGTAGAAGTTCAGCAAACTTACGCCTTATCGGTGCCATTTATTAAAGCTGCGACTCCTCTCATCACGTCTTTAGTTCTGACCAAAACAACCTCATCTTTTGACAAATTATAATTTTGGTTTGCTGTTATTACCGTTAAAAACGAGTACCAGTCAAACTAGAACGAAAACATGATATCCAACACTTACTATATGGAGGTTAAGATCTACGATAATATCTTGTGTGTGATTCAGTGATCCACCCCTGGTGCAACAGGGCCTGGAGGGTGGGGTGGGGATTGATAGGGGTACTGGGGTAGGTTACAACTTCAACTCACCTTTGTATAGTCGGAAAGTTGACTAATAGTCGATGATTGTGGAAATCCTGTATTCTCCCTAAAAACCTTAAACGAATAATAGAAAACCGAAATAAGAAATAAAATTATACAGCCGTTTCAACACGCCCCCGGCTCCATATATTTGTTGATGGTTTGAACAGGACTTAAGAAGACATCTGACGGATTTACGCCTGGAAGAATAAATCTGAAAATTCCTGGAACCCTTAATCCTGATCTCTTTTCGACGTTACTAGTTGAAGCCCATCTTGAATAACCCTTTCGAGTCTTTCGTGTCTCCAATTCAATGAGTTTGTATCATACCGTCGCAATTTTTTCTTCCAATAAGTAAACTTGTTCCATTTGTTCCTCAGCTTTCTTCTGATCAGCACCAAACAACACCATTACATCGATCATATATTGTCTATACGATGAACGAGTCTAGAAATATCATACGAAACAGTAAGATTGGTGTTGATGTTAGATTGGTTGGTGGAACATGAAGTAGTTATTGCATGTGCCATCCTAACGACACACATAGGACCAATGAAGGATGAACTTCGCAGAAACTGTAGGGAGAACACATATATAGGCGTACAAAGTGTGGTATTGACTTATTATAGCTTTCAAAAATGTTTGTCTTTTCTCACCCCCCCCCCCCCCCAACGTCGACAGGAATTTTGGGAAATGTAAATTTTAGGCCGCCCCCCTAATTTTTTCCTTCGTGCCCGTACGCCTATGGCCAAGAACAGTTTAATAAAAGTGTCAGACCTATCCATTACACATGGATTTACCAAAGTTTGATTTTGAATAATCCTTGAACAATTTCGTTAGTTTAAATACCGTACAGTAACACGTACTAGACCATGCAATGAACCTTCAATAAATCTCTTAGGAAGCAAATAATAGAGCAAAGTCAAATCTGTGAAATTAAGATTTACCTTTTCATAAAAATCTTGTGTGGAATTTTTCTCAACGTAATAAGTGCTTGCAAGCACAATGCCACCGTCGGTAATCTAGTCAAAGTGAAAAGAAGTTTATTATCTTTTACATGATGAAAAGTTCTCAAAATCTTCGTTGCCCAAGAATCGCTCATGAACAGCTTCCTGTGCTGTCACATGTACAAGGTTGTCATCTACACTTTAAAAGATTTGTTAGATTTGAAAACCAGCTCTACGAAGCCTTTGCACTGCCCCTTCAAGTGGCCGTATTAGGGAGGCTCAAGTCGTACACATACCGCGATACGTCTTCTGGACGAGTTAGCAAAATCAGGAAACACATTAAGAGAGAAAAAAGGCTGAACACCAAGTTGTGTGAAGGCGGTGAGCATTGCTTTCTGAACATCATATTCAGAAGAATTCCAGTTTGGACTTGTAAGATTAGATCCTCCAAGGGTTGCAATGACTTCTTTCAAATATTTGTCTCCTTGGGTATTGATTGTTGCTTTTGATAAACATGTCTGGTAGTAATTAATTGTTTTCATCACTGCTCGATTCTGTAAGGAAATGGTGTAATTTTTCAAACGTTACCAGTTTTACTTTTTATCGACCGAAGATAGAATAGACTAAATTCGGATACAATGTCAGTGGTTTGTATCTGAACTACTTGAAAGAGATTACTTATTTGTAACGGATTCACGTGGGATTTTCCACATAACACAACCTTTTTGCAAAGTACAACTTTACCTATATACAGTAGACCCCACATCTAAGACTAAAGTTAAACACAATTAAAAACTGAAAGTGGTTTCTCAATATTTTTACATCTGCTGTGTAATAGAGCCCAGTAAAACACACCTCTGGGCAGGATTCGCCTCCCCACGCTTCCCCAATTTTATGTTACCTCTCTCTAGGCCAGGCCTAGGGACAACGGTCACTGTGGGCCCAGACTTTCTGGCCTAGGTTAGAGTTAGGTTAGGTGTAGGTTTTTTCAAATGTACAAGCCAAAGGCATGTAAAGCAAGGCTCAGGACAGGCCAAGTTATAAAACACGGCTTTTGAACAGATATCAATGAACCATTAAATTAACCTGACTGCATGTGCTATCTGGAAAGTCTGGATATACGAGCAGGCACCTGATAAGGATTTAACTCATTTTGGTCAAAGGTATAACAAGCCTTTTTATTAATAGTTTATTAGAGCAAATAATATACCGATGAATACTTTGTCTTCGTAGCAGGATCAGCCAAAAGGTTTCTCATGAACTGTTTGTTTGCATTATTGATACTCCACAATATATGAACTTCAGTCACAGTTGTAGGTATGAAGGTTTTCGCTTGCCAGCCACCGCACGCGAAGGAATGGAAATCTTCACATGGATCCGCAGACCTGTTCATGGAGCCCAGTATCACTGGAAATGATAGAAGAACAGATTGTATCGTCAGCCATGTACAATCCTGTCACGACCGAATGGAAATCATGGCCTATGCTAGTGAAACTGACCATTAGGCCTAGGGGTACGAGACAGGAAGCTGGGGGGGGGGGAGGAGGGAGAGAACACAACCCCCCAGTAAGTGTTTAGTCAGGTAGATTCTTCTTAAAAAGTCGGGCAATTCGCTCAACCTGCTCGGTATAAAGCATTTTGTCGCTTTTGAAATCCCCAAAATACTTGTAACTATTTCTGTATTTTTTATTTATTGTTTTAAGTAAATATTTAGTAATTTTCCTGCCCATAAATAATAAATTTGTCGTTGATCAGATAATAATGACGCTGAAATTGTAATCTGGGAAACGGGGTATCGTCAGAAACCAGCTTAATTTACGCAAAGAGGAAGATTTTCAACACAAAGTCGAAGTCTATTTTTATTAACACAAACTATCACCACATACATGCACGTAATCTTCCCACATCAACTGGATACCTGCATAATAATTTTATGCAACAATGAATATTAACATTCAATTAATATTTCATGCTCACAGATATGAAATGAAATCTTTCCAAAAACTGTACAAAATCTGAGGAACAAACATTCACCAAACATTGAAACATAAGAAAATTACAAAAACTAGTTATAATTTCAACTGAATTCAAAATCTTGAATTCAAACCAATTTTTTCGATACAATACATCGCAATGGGTGGTTAGAGACTTTAATTAAAATCAACTTCTCGAAGGATCTAATGAGATTATCACTCTCCCATTTTGTTTTGAACAGAACGTTATTTCTTGGGTAAATAGACACTGATTGTAATCCTATTTCTTTAATGATTCTTCCAGGAATTGTTCAATTAAACCAAATTTGTTTGCAAAATTGAGTTAGAATACAGGTGTTTATATATACATGGTTATCGAATATAAATGCAATGCTTCAGACTAGATAGTGATTAATACTGAAGATAAGAATAAATTTGGGTATAGGCCTTCCTAAAAATTATTGCTACTCGTTGGTTAAAATCTTCAGGTGACTCCCAGATACTGTAAGTAAAACTATATGTATACTCCAATTAAGCATAAAAAATAATAGACTGACTTCTAATGACCTTGACCAATTTTAGATAAAAAAAGTTTGAATCGAATGAGATAATTTTGTCCTCAGTTTTACCTGCAGCGCTTCTAACGCAATTATCGTCCAAACACGTTGGTATTGATGTCGTGTCGTTGTCGTCGTTATCTCGAACTTCTTTAGCATAATACACACCGACAACAACAACTGCTGTCACCAAAATAACTAGAAGAACCACTGCTAACTTTAGCAGATTATTGTTCGAACCATTTTTCATTGGAGTTTTCTCCTGAAAATTATGACCCGGAACAGAAACGACAGTAGATTTTAACTCCGTTCCTTGTATCTCCGGAGTAAAACCTTTGTTAACTTGATTCGCCATTCGAACAGGTGTTCCGACGGACCTCGGCTGCAGAGAAAATAGAGCGAAGACGACGCGATGAAGTGTTTATATACATCTCAATTCCAAAAGATTTGGACAATAGGTTAAAACCTCATGTTGTGATGGTTTCTAAGGATTTATGTCACAAAACATGCAAGTTGGTAGTGTTTATACAGAACTGTTTTTTTTATCATGTGATATCTCCTCTAAAGACTTAGAAATGTTTCAAAGGGAAGGCAAATTTATTTTTAAGGTTTTTCAAAATTCTAAAATTATGATCGACAGCACCAATTATATCAGATTCAGTTCGCGTGATGATATTTATTCCCATACTGCGATGACTCATGCGATGATTAGTAATTATTTTAAAATAACAAGTAATTAAATTATAATAGTGTAAAAAAATTGGTTAGAATTTTCAGAAATTTGTAATCCGAAGAATGAATTTACCACTTTTAGGTAACGAAGAAACGATCACCACGAATTCACGAACTTGTATATAAACGTGCGTTTAATCTGCGGGTAGAAATTAGGAATGCATAGGTCCAGAAATTAGGAATGCGTATTCGAACACGAATAATGTCTCCACTTTTTCATGCATGCCCTTAATCTAAGACCACGCAAAGACTCATTTTGCAAGCGCGCACCGGCATATCCTTTCCAAAAGAGCGTGGAACGAGCGAAGTGCACTGAATGAGTGCGCGTGATATTTTGTGAAGACAAATTTTTGACTGAGAAGATATACTCTATAAATATATTGTTTCTGAGCTCCGTTTTTGCTTAGTTTTTAGGTAGTCGATATACAGTTTACCGAAATCCGGTAAACTGGTCATGCTTTTAGGTTATGACTTGGATCTTATACAAGTTTTGAAATTTTTCTACTGACATCTTCATTGACATTGACTTGTTGGTTAATGGGCGAAACAGATTAGTAACCTACTATGATCTTCAATGTCCAAGTTCAGTAAAGAATTAGAGGGCTAATTAAGTATGGCTGTTTTGGATGGAAATATAGTAAAACGTTTAAAAATATCAAGAGTTCAATAAACTATTTAAATCCCAAGCAAACACAACATATAAAAACGCCATAAATATTGCCTTATAGTTTCAGTTTTAATGTGTTTACCACTCCGTGGTCTTAACAGGTAATGTCTTATCATAGTTAATAGAGGCTAGGAGATGGTTTGGAAACTCATTAGCATTACAATAAACCTCACTATCTATGTTTTTGTTCAGGTTTATGCAAAAATGTGGTCTTTCATCGTCACGTGCGTATTGTATTTTTGCTGAACCAGCCAATAGCAACGGTTTGGTCCAATTGCCCATCCATGACTTTAACAATAGGACATTTTGAACATTCCTATTGGTTGACTTGAGAAAAATACAATACCCACGTGACGATGAAAGACCACATTTTTGCATAAACCTGAACAACATAGATAATGAGGTTTATTGTGATTTTATTGTAATGCTAACGATTTCCAAACCATCTCCTCTATTAACTATGGTCTTATACAATCCATTTTACGACTAGAACCCAAGGATTAGTTTTTAGTGTGGGAGAAAGCCCAGACAAAACCCTCGAATTAACAATCCATGCTTTACAGATGAGTTTTTCAAGAGAAGTTACCCAACCTATAAGTAAATCCCTGCCTTCCTCAACTTGGAGTACGTAGCATGCGTAATTACGAGCTGCATGCAGGGAGCTAACCGCATCTGTCACCTTCCCTTATTACTATCAGAAATACTTTTAATTTTGAAAACATTTTTCAAGCAATTAGAATCCTGTGCATTGGCATGAAATTAGAAATTATTTTTATACATATACCACAACGGTATGGTATGTAGATTGCCATGTGAAATCTTTTAGGAAAGAATTTACCGCCACAATAGCACACTGCTGGACTGGAGCGTTTTTTATTGCCGCAAGGAAAATTGCGTCTAACAACTGGAAGCTACCTGCCAAGTAAAGTCAACACGGCCAAAACTCAGACAAATTAAGCCATTGCGCAAGCCGACATTTTTACGATTGTTCATTTGATTTCATTTTATTGAGTGCAGATTTAATTACTTGTAGTATCCAATAATTGGAGTGGAAATATTTGCTGGAATTTGCGGAAATTAAATTATGACCTCTCCAAGTTTAATGTACCAGCGTTTTGACCACTAAAAATGGGAGGCCTGACATTTCAGACGCTGGTATAAAATTATGTTTATAGAGATTGCTGTAGTCTCAGTAGTCTGTGTGAACTGAAAACTGCCGTGGTTGGTGGCTGAACCACTTGAAAATGATTACAAACATTTCATAAATATAGTTTCCGGTAGTTCAGACATCAACTGACGGCCAGCTAATTGTAGCCGAATACCAGTATACCACCTACATTGGACACCCATGCTCGAGATATTGACGGATGTTTGTTTGTATTGCGTAATCTGCATCTCTATGTACAGATTACTACGCAAGGACGTAGCCATGGACCCCCACTTTTCTTCAGGACAAATTTTGCAATTTTCACAAAACAGAGAAGAATTGGGGATGGGAGGGGGGGGGGGGGTCGTAACCTCGTAATGTTTTCATCTATGACATAAAATATACCAAATCTGTGG